TCCTTTGAGCTCTTGCACCCTGGCTGAGATCCTTAGCATTGACAGCAGATACTCTGTTTCTCCCACCACCCCTCATCCCTGCCCCCCCGCCCCAAAATAACCCAGCTACCCAACCAGAAATCAGCAACAAAACTAAGTGTGCCCCTAAGTACTTCTAACGCACAATCCTTTATGCCATCTTCCCTTTGGGTTCTTGTTTTGAAGGCTGCATTTTGTGTTGTCACAGAGCTCTGAGATAGAGGATGCCTGCAGGCCTGGTGAAGGCCCTGCCCTGGGAAAGAAGGGAGTGGGCAGGGCCTCGGAAAACCTTTCATTTCTCTTACCTGGTGGTTTCCAGCGGGGTCCTGGGCGCAGTGGGTAAGCATTCACCTGCTGACCACAAGGTCAGCAGTTTGAATACACCAGCTGCTCCTTGGAAATCCTATAGGGCATTTCTACTCTATCCTATAGGATCACTATGAGTTGGAATCTGCTCAGCGGCAACCAGTTTTTTGGTGGTTTCCAAGGATGCTGGTGTTTTCACAAGAAAGGTACATGAGCCCCTAGTCCGGTGGCGACAGAGGTGCTGTACGGGCAGTTCTAGACTTAGACACAGTTGTGTCTGCTGTGGCAGGGAGGGATTTGGCATTTTTAGACCATCAGAATTTGAAACCAGAGGAAGAGAAGTTGTGGGAGAAGCAGTGGTACTGCTTCTGGGAAGCCTTCCCTGGCTCTGTGGGATGATGCAGATAGCAGAACTGGGCTGTAGGCCACTGAGGAAAAAAAGCGTGGCAGAGGGACTTTCACGCCCAGGTGCGAGCTCAGGCGAGTGAAACGTGGCCTCCCTTCCTTCTGCACACCTGCCTTGAGCAGCGTACTGATCCAGTGCTGAGGACACGGCTACAAGCTGGGCAATCTTGGTGGAGCAAAGGCTCTGTCGGGGGACAGTTGCTATGTGTTGTCATTATATAAAGGGGTGATAATTATAAATTAATTTTGAACATGTATGATTGCCATAAGCTCCCCAGAGGAGATTCACTGGTATCGACAGGGGCTAGAATTGGTCTGGGGCAGTCAGGATGGGCGCCCTTGAGGAAGGGACACTTTAGTGGAGCCTTGGTGGGTGGGCAGGAATGGCCAGGTGGAGGGGCTGGGGGAAGCTGAGGAAACTACAGGCTCATAGGCCCCCAGCTGGAGGGAGCCCAGAGGAGGCCTGTGTGGCTGCGCTGCGGAGGGAAGGGAGCACATGAGCAGAATGGCGGGAGATGAGGAGGGAGGATAGCAGCAGTTTTAGCTTTCTGGGCTTGTGGAACAGGGTACAGAGTTTGGATTTTATCCTTAAGAGATGTTGAAGGGTTATAAGCAGGGAAGCAACATGAGCTCCTCACCAGCCTCCACAAACGCAGTCATTCCTGCTTCTGACCTTGGCCTTAACGGCTGCGCTTATCCAGTCCGTCCTCTGTACCCCCAGAGATCCTGATCAGTACTGCTTCCACAGGGAGACTCCTCTCCTCCTTCTACTGCTCCCTCAGTTTGCTCAGGCCTCGGAGCAAGCTGCATGCACCTTCCTATCTCTAGAAGTATGGCCTGGATGCTGGAGGTGCTGCAGTGTCATCAGGTACAGGTGCCAGGTAGACCATTGTAGAAGCTTTTGTCCTGTCTGCATACTCAGGTCTGGCTGCATCATCACTTCTGTCCCAGCTGGCTCCTGCTGCCCCTCTGTCTTCTGTGTCTAACAGATTCCAGCTTCTTCCTACCAATCAATGGGTTGGGTTACTGCCCTTTGTGACAATTGTCCCTGCCTCTCTGAATGGAGGTTCCCAAATCTGGCTGGGGCAGTCACCTGTAAACTTACACACTGACCCTGAGCTCCACCCCCAGATTCTTGGATTCCTTAGGTTTGGGAGAAGGACTGGCCGGAAGCCCATGAAGGTAGGAGCAGTTTCTTACTGACCTTTGCTTCCCCACTGCCAGACAGAGGCCTTGAGTTGTGCAACCATCACCACAGTCAATTTTAGAACTTTTTCAACCCTCCCCAAAAGAAACCCCCATAGCCCTTAGCCGGCACTTCCCATTCCCCCTTCCCTGCCAGCCCAAGGCAACTGCTAATGGACTTTCTTTCTCCATCACTTTGCCTTGGTAAATGCCACTGAAGGATGTCACCTCCCTCCTGCCTGGCTCTCTTGTCTCCCAGCCTGTTCCCGCTCTCAGTGTAGTGGCTTACCGCTCCCTCCTTGGGCTGCTCCCTAATCCTTGCTGGCAGCTCTTCTTGCCATGCGAAAAACTAGTGCTGCACTGTGGGCCTTGAGGATCCTTAAGCCAAGACAAGAGAGTTCTTGGCTCACCTAGGTGCTGTGTAACCTCTGGCAAGTGACCTTCCTTGTCTGGGCTGCAGATTGCATAGCTCTGCAATGAGGTAGTGCGACAGGGCCTTCCAATTTTTTAGAGTGTTGAATAAAAATGGTTCTTAAGAGGGCTCCTAAGACTTACCAGAGGTCAGTCTGCGTTTGTAAGCAGCAGTCAGGTGGTATGGGTTTTAATTTGTGTTAATGCCCTCCAAACATTGATGGGTATTTTGGCCTGGGGTTGTTTCTTTTTTCTAACCCCTTCTCACCACCTGGGCATGGCTGAAAAGGGGGGACAGAGCCAGAGTGCCTGTGTCTTCTAACCCATGCTGAGCTCCTACTATGGAAGTACTGGGGGGAGGCTGTTTGTATAGTAAAAAAAATAGTCGTGTTGTACGCCATTGAGTTGATTCAACTCACAGCGACTCTATAGGACAAAGTAGAACTGCCTCGTAGGATTGCTAGGGTGAAATCTTTATAGGAGCAGATCACTAGGTCTTTTTCTCTTGCCAAGTGGCTGGTAGGTTCGAACTGCTGACGTTTTGGTTAGCAGCGAGCACTTTAACCATTGCAGCACCAGGCAGTGTTTTTGAGCGCTTATGGGCCAACCACCGTGCTGATTTTTTTTCTTTTTTCTCTCATAGTTTTTTTTTTTTTTTTTTTTTGAGACGTAATCAGCACACCATGAAACTTACTCTTTTAAAAGTGTGTAACTGAGTGGTTTCTAGTATACCAGCAATGTTGCGTAGCCATTAAACCAAAAAAACCAAACCAGTTGCTGTCGAGTTAATTCCAACTCATGGTGACCCCATGTGTGCAGAGTAGCACTAGTCCACAGGGTTTTCAAGGCTGTGACCTTTCAGAAGCAGATCACCAGGCCTTTCTTCTGACACACCTCTGGGCGAGTTTGAACCACCAGTTTTTCAATTAGTGGAGCATTTAACTGTTTGCACCACATAGGGACTCCTGTGTAGTCGTTGTTGTTGCTGGCTGCCGACGAGTCGGCCCCTGACTCATGGTGACCCCATTTGTTACAGAGTAGTACTGATCCATAGGGTTTTCTTGTCTATAATCTTAACAGAGAAGATTACCAGGCCTTTATTCCTTGTAGCTGCTGGGTGGGTTCAAACTGCCAACCTTTTAGGTTAGCAAACTGCTCATGCTACCTGGGCTCCTTACCACTGTCTAATTCCAGAACATTTTCATCACCTCCAAAAGGAAGCCCTGTATCTGTTAACACTCACTTCCCATTCCCCACTCCTGGCAACCATTATTCTACTTTCTGTCGCTATAGATTTCCCTGTTCTAGACATTTCATATAAACAGAACCATATAATATGTGGCCTTTTGTGTCTGACTTCTTTTACTCAGCATGTTTTTGAGGTTCATCCATGTTGTAGCATGTATCAGTATTTTTCTTGCTTTTTTTTAGTAACAGCTTTATCAAGATATAATTCACATACCATACAATCCACCCATTTAAAGTGCACAGTTCAGTGGTTTTTAGTATATTCAGAATTGTGCATCCATCAACACAATCAATTTTAGAACATTTTTATTGCCCCCAAAAGAAACCCCATACCCTTTAGCTGTTATCCTCCCATACCTCCATTACCACACCTCCCACCCCTGGCAACCACTAATCTACTTTCTGTCTATAGATTTGCTACTGTGGACATTTCTGTCATACAGTAGGTGGGCTTTTGTGCCTCACCTTTTTCCCTTAGCATAATGTTTCAAGGTTCATTCATGTTTTGGCATGTATCAGTACTTCATTCCTTTTCACTATTGAATAATATTACATTGTATATATATACCACATTTTGTTTATCCATTTACCCATTAATGGACATTAGGGTTATTTCCACTTTTTGACTATTGTGAGTAAAGCTGCTGTGAACATTCATGTAGAAATTTTTGTGGACATAAGTTTTAAATTCTCTTGAGTATACACCTAGGAGTGGCAATGCTGGGTCATCTGGTAAATCCATGTTTAACCTTTTGAGGCACTGCCAGACGGTTTTCAAAGTGGCTGCACCATTTCACTTTCTTGTGCTAAATGTTTTACATGCACTGTCTCATCAGTCCTCACAAACTTCATGAGATGTAGATGTAATGACTGCCATACCCATTTTACAGATGTGAGCATTGAAGCTCAGTTTTCTTGTGTACGTTCACACAGCCGGTCAGTCGGTTGATAATTCTTTGGCAAATGCTAGCTTTGATAGCTAAAGCAGTGTCTGTTCTCCCAAAGCCTGTTTTGAATTCTCACAGTGGGGGCTTTTGACTGTGTCATTCATGTGCGATACCTCGTGCCTAGCACAGTGCCCAGCACCCACTGGTACTCAAGTATTCATTGAGTAAAATGCCATTTTTCGTGACCGGGACCCTCGGGGGCAGCCTCCTTCTTAGGGGTCACTGTAGTCCAGTTTCTCGGACTCCCTGCAGGGTTGTGCATTCACCTCTGCCTAAAAGGGATGCAACTACACACCAGATGCTGTGGAACCCCCACAAGCCTCCTACTCTCAGACGTCTTCCTGGAGACTCAAGCCTGCGGCTGGGGCATGAGATGCTTCGGGTCTGCCAAGCAGAAGTGACTTCTGTTTTCAGTGAACCTGCCCTCTTTCTCTCTGGTCCAAGGCCACTGATAACCTGCCTTCCTTTTTTCTCCTCCAGGCAAAACCCATCTATGGTGGCTGGCTGCTGCTCGCTCCAGATGGGACTGACTTTGACAACCCAGTGCATCGGTCTCGGGTATGGGCACCAGAGTGAATTCTCAGGGTGTGAAGATTTGGGGGTGGGAGGAGCCAGAGAAAGGGGCCCATCTAAGAGTCAACTGGCAGAACGGAAGAGGGTGATGGAGATTGAAAAGTGGATCCTGGATGACTGGGTCAGCAGCCCCCCCGCCCCCCGCCCCGCAATATCGCGAACTTGTAGGTCCCACATAAAAAGTCTCAGTTATGTGTAGTTACACATAGTCTTCCTAAATGAGATGCCCTCACTTAGTGCCACCTCTTTGTGGGCCAGTTTGACCTTGGAAACAGTTACATGGAAGAGGCAAAGAGCCATTTGACAAATGTTTACATTGTGCTAATTAGGTTTCTCCTCCCTTCAGTGCCCAGGCCCTGCTTCCTGGTCCTTCCCCAGCCAGGCCTCTGCACTGTTGAAGGAAGGGGCATCCTTTCTCTCCCTCTCTAGACTCTGCATTTTCCCCTAACGTAGAATGTCTCTGAGGCAGAGTGTGGGAACCCCGTTTCTCTGGGGCAGCCCCAGGGCAGGGTCCCTGCCTGAATAGGCTGCTGGGAGCACTCAGATCTGAGCGGTGAAACCAGCATAGTGCCTGGCCAACCTGTGGTCTATTCCTTTGCCAGGAAGCCTTTTTGGGGTTCTTTGACTCCATTTCAGAACTTGCCTTCTTGTTTTCATGCACTGTCTTCTGGGGTCTGCTGCACACCCCCTGCAGTGCCCCAGCTCTGCTCCCTTCTCATGCCCTATCCTCTTCAGTGCCTCCGCTACTCCCACCAGGCTGAGCGTCACTCTTGAGGTAGGGTGGTGGTATTGCCTAGCCTACCCTACAGACCTTGCATTGTGTCTTTGGTCTTGGGATTCCTTCTAGAATGGTTTTCGATTTCCAACACAACACGTAAGAGTCTTGGAAATGTTTCTCGGAAAGCCTCCAAGTGGCGTCTCCCTGGACACCAGATTGGAAGCAGCTTTCCAGCAGGTTCTCTCTGCAGGCCCGATGAATGGTCCTGCTTGTGCCACCCAGGTAGGGGGAGAAGAAGAACCACTATGTGCTTCTCTCAGACTGCAGCTGCCAGGGAGAAACGCATTTTCCTATCTTATATTAATGTCTGACAGAATTGCCATTTTCAGCTTCTGTGGAGAAAATCATTATTATAAAAGATATAATTCTGGCCCAAAACAAAGAAGAATGATAGTTTAGTTAGTTCTTGTGGCCTTATTGCCAGTAAAAGTGTGTATTTTGTTGGGCTTTCTGAAGTGTTGAAAATATGTCCTGGGCCTTCATTCTGACCTCTGGGATTCGAGGAGCTGTCCTTGTCAGTCACTGATTTTGAGACCAGCACTCTCACATTGTAGTTGGGCCCTTCTCTCACAACAAAGAAAGTGATCTTCTTGTAGTCCGTTTGATTCCAGCATGTGACCACACACTTGGAATTCTTCTGTGACATGGTGTTGGATATAGAGTATAGGCAGAGAGGGTGCTGTCTGCACCCTGGATACTGGGGTTGGTCTCCACTGGTCCTGCTTCTCCTCAGTTTTGATTTTTGTCAGCCTCTTCATTCTCGGTGAACTCTGGAGCCTGGATGTAATTTTGCCTCCAGTGTGCCACCACCTGTGGCGATCTCTTAGATTGTCGATCTTCAGGACAACCTCTTTATAGCACAGTTCCCAGATTTTTTTAGAAGAGCTGAATTAGTGCCTTGTGTTATTCCATAATTGTGTCAGATATTTCATCAAATATATAATTGGCACATACTATGTGATAAACTCCACCAGGTATCATAAAAACCACATAAACCCTTTGCTATTGAGTCAATTCCAACTGTTGGCAACCCCATATATGCACAGGAGAACTGTGCTTCATAGGGTTTTTAGTGGCTGTGACCTTTCACAAGTAGATTGCCAGACCTTTCTTCCCAGGTGCCTCTGGATGGGTTTGAACTGCCAACCTTTAGGTTAGTAGCCAAGTGTTTAACTATTTGCACCACTAAGGGACTCCACTGTGTACCATAAGGAATACAAAAAGACTACTGAGGCATTGATCGTTTTTGCTTCTAAGGAGCTTAGAAATTTAAAAAGGGGTGGTGGTGGTGCTTTTTGTTAAATCTGGATAACAAGTGTGGAAACATACTGGGTGATTGGCCTTTCCTGCTGGCCGAATTTTGGCCAGCGAGTCATAGTTCTTATGCCTTGAGTCCCTCTTTTCATGCCACCTGTCCCAGAAATGGAAGCTGTCAGCCAGCATCCCTTAGACCTGGGTTAGTCAGACATGGGGACTCAGCATGCAAAGATCTGGGACCAGAGACCTCTTAACCGTGCACTCTGTGCTCCATTCCAGAAATGGCAGCGGAGGTTCTTCATCCTCTATGAGCATGGCCTCCTGCGTTACGCCCTGGACGAGATGGTAAGTGTCCTCCCTCTTGTGGTCACACAAGTGTCATGGGTGAGCACAGCAATTGCATGCTGGTGCTTGGCCTTCTGTCTGGGAGTCTGGAGTGTTTTTAAGAATCCGTGGCCACTCATGGAGATGGCCCTTCAAGCCCAGGCCTTCGGTTTGAGGCACCTTCTTCAGGGGTTACGTGCAAGAGTAAGTAGTGAGGGAGAAAATCACTTTTGCTCAAGGCTGGTAAGAGTCTGGACTCAGCCAGAGAACTCTCAGTTAGAAAAAAGTCAGGGTAATGCTCTACAGGTCTACAGTGAAGAAGAAGTGTTTTGTTCCCTTTGGGTCTTTGGCTGATACGTTGGAATGGGCTGGGGGACTTCCATGGCACTCTTGGGTGTGGGTGCTTGGGCTGGCCCTTGTGTGTGCATGTGTGCATATGTGTGTGTGTGTGTGTGTGTTTGTGTGACAGAGTATACAGATATTCGTGTGCTGTAGTCCCAGAGTTGCTGCTTAATTCCTGTTGATATGATTAGTTTTGCTCATCTTGTGTGATCTTAGCTTAGTTTTTAGCTGGGCTCAGAGGCCTCTTGGTCATGGAATCAGTGTTCCTCTGGGCACTGAGCCAGAGGGATATTGGCTCCTCCCTGCTCTGCCACTGACCTGCTTTTCTACCTGTTTGCTGGACTTGATGTGTGTTTGCTGCTATTGCTCCAGAGGCAACACTGAAAACCAACTAGGTGGAATGTTCAGGATTTTCTTTTTCTACTTGTTTGATCTCATGGCTTTTTATCTGATCTAAATTATGACTCAGCTCCAAGCTTGATAAAGTTGAAGATGGAAGGTTTGTCCACCTTTTCCTCTTTCATCTGAGTGTGTGTGTAAAAGTGTTTGGTGCATGCACATGTACGTGTGTGCTTGTGAGTGTGGGTGAATGTGCATGCATGTGTACATGTGCACGATTGTGAGTGTACACATCAGTATGTGCATGCATATGTGTGTGTGAGCACGTGCGTGTGTGAATGTCACTGTAGTAATGCCTTGATCTAGTCCAGTCACGTTGACCCACTGTGCCTCACCTCGTATTGATGCTTCCTCTGAAACTAAAACTGTGGTCTGATACGGAGTTTGTGCTGAGCCTAGCATGAGAGGGAATTTGGGACATGTTGTTTAGATGCCCAAGTACTGACATTTCTGGGGTGCCTTGGTTGTTTGTGGCAGCAGCAGTGCAGCATTTTCAAATTGGGACTGTTCTGGAAAATCTGGTCATACTACGTACAATAGGCTGACCCCATCCTGTCTGGAGTTCTGGAGGTGTGAGCAGGAGGTCCCTGTGCTTTCCCAGGACCTTCTGGACTGTTTGGACACCGGGCTTTAGGGTAGTCATTATAGCTCTTGTGTGTAAGGCCGTAAATGGACCCATTTTCATAAACAAGTTGTGATCTTTATGATGTGATTGATACTTTCTCTACTTCAGTTTTTGGGTTGAATTAATAGCGGTGATTCCTTAGTTTTGTATTAACTCTCACTTCGCTGGTTTCTTCTTAGAAACAGTTTTCTTTCCCTCTCATTTTTTCTGGTGAGCATATTTGTACACAGTGAATGGGTCCCGAAGGGTGTTTGCAATGGAAATGTCTGAGATCCAGAGTAGTTTGGAAGTGACCAAACTGGTGGTGCACACTGACAGGTGGTAGAGTTCGTTAGAGGTGAGGGGCAGGGAAATGACCTCTGGCTTTGCCCTTGGGGAAAGGAAGCAACCTGGAGGACAGACCCGTCAGGAAGGCCTTAGCCCCAGAATGGGTGCTGGACTCCTCAGAACGTTGAGATTTACTCTCCCCCTGAGCCTGTCTGACCCTTTCTTAAGTCCAGCAGTAAACGGTCTTGAAGGAGCGTTGCAGGGGGAGGTTGCTGGATTATATCGGGCTGGGCTGGGTCCATGAGCCGTCCCCAAAACAAGCTCCTTGAACTTTCCTTGGTAACCAATTATTTCAGTCAGGAAATCTTTCTGTAGGTCCAGTAGAATCCATAATTCCCTTTGGCTCGGTTGCATGAGTACAAAGAGGGTATCTGCTGGGGGCACCATCGTATTGGCACCAACACAGAGCACACACTGCCTCTGAGAACCGCTCCTCAGTAATTGAGACTGAGCCACAGGGACCGACACGTTACAGATATATTGTCTCCTAGCAACCTGGATGGTGGCTAGGTAATATTTCACGTGGTGCTAGGGCTGAGAGGTGGGGTGTGCCAGCAATGCGGGGAAAGAAGCCCCAGGAAAACTTGGACTGCAGATGGGGCAGGGGGAATACAGAGTTGCAAGTGTGGCATGGACCACTTTCTGGCAGATGACCTTGGGGCTGAAGGTGGTGTTCCACCCCCACTGCGGGCAGTGCACCTCTGGGGAATAGCAACATTATCTCCATGAGTGCAAAAATGCAGTGGCAGTCAAGTGGAAAGGCCATCAAAGCCACTCTGCAGGTTTATAAGGGGTTTCCCTGTTATATCAGGAAGGCCCTATGGGTGGGAGTTGCTCCCTGAATCAGTCAGGGCTGCCCTTGGGGCGAGTCTGGGCTGAGGGCAGGCACATTTCCACCCTAGTGGCCAGCCCATGTGTTGTCACCGTGAAGACTGCATGTGAGCAAGGGCCAGGACATCTCTAAGCCCAGCACAGTTTAGAGTCCCAGAGTTGCAGTGTGACACTCAGCCTGCCTTCATCCAAGACCTTACCCTGACTGGACCAGTGGAGTCTAGGCCCAGACTAGAGCAGGAGAATATCTTTCCAGACAGGCTGCGGTGCAGTGTATTACTTAATGGCCCTTCTAGCCATATTGTGACTCCTACAAAATGATTGGGTGGGATTATGCAAATAAGGTGCTTGTGGCCCACCAAGGGGATTGGACAGCTTGCTAATAATGCAGATAAGATGTATAAAACCCTTGGGGTGGAGGTGGGACCATGCAAATAAGATACATGAAACCCCAATGAAGGGATTGGTCAGTTTTGCCATCCCACTAGGCTTAAAGGGACCCAATCCCAGAGGCAGAGAACGAGGACCTCACTACCATCAGGAAGAAGAGCCAGGAGTGGAGTGTGTCTTTTACACCCAGGGTCCCTGCACTGAGAAAGTCCTAGACCCAGCAGCTAGAGAGCCATAGCACTGGAGACGGTGCAGCAGAGAAACAGTGGCAGCAGAACCAGGAGACTGGCGTGAGACGACGCAGTGAGCTTTCTGGTCCACGGAATGAGGCAGCTACAGTGGGCGTGCCAACCTACAGGAGCGAGAAAGCTGAGCACCTTCAGGCAGGAGGCTTGCTGGTGGAGTGGGGTGCCTCCAGGTTCTTATCGGCAGAGCGAAAGAGCTTTGTAACACTTGCCCGAACAGGGCAGAGACCAGGCCAAGGGGCCGATGGAGAGGCCTACCTGCTGTCACGGCAGAGAAGAAGCTATCCTGGTCGAAGAACTGTATCCTGAGATGTTCCTGATCCTGAATTATAACCTGTTACTGCCCTAATAAACCTCATAACTGTGAGTATAGTCTGTGAGTCCTGTGTGGCCATTGCAATGAGTTATTGAACCCCACAGAGAAGTAGATAGTGCCGTGGGAGGGACAGCTAGTGTCAGAATTGGTAAAAATGTTGGAGAAAAGGAGGTATGTCTGACCTCCATCTCATAGGAATCAGCCGTGGGCTGATGATCTTGATTCTCTCTCCTCCTTCTTGTGAAGTTAGACGAGGTCTGATGATGTCCCCCCATTTTTACACAGGCCATAGGTGGGCTGACTTCAGTGATGCTCGGGCTTTCTCCGAGGACATGGACTAGAGCCATGGGTCTCAACTGGGCCACAGTGCCCCAAGGGTCATGTGGTAGCATCTGGAGATAGTGTTGGTTGTCACCAGCAGGGGCGAGGAGGTATTGCTAGACGTCCTGCATTTCATGTAACAGCCCCCTCAGCAGAGACTTACTGGCCCCAAATGTCACGAGTGCCGAGGGGAGAAACCCAGTGTTTATTTAAATGTTTATTTTTAGATTAAAATATGAATTTGAGTTTTGATTAACTCCGTTCATAAAGGGCATGGAAGGAGTCACCTGCCAGGTCTTGAGAGCAAGGGAGGGGGATAGCGGAGCAGGTTCATGCCTGCTGGCTTTGAGATCAGCAGTGGCATGGAATGGGGTCATGCCTGCTCTTGGTCTGGAGGTGAGCAGCAGCGTGGAATGGGGTCATGCCTGCTCCTGGTCTGGAGGTTGGCTGTGGGCATGCTGCACATCAGGTAACCAGAACCCAGCAAAACTGCTTACTTGTGTCTTCTGCCACGGGCACCCAGGCCTTGTGCCGCGCCACATCTGTCTCTGAAGGCTCTGATCCTCCAGCTCCTGGCTGCTGCTCGAGACTTCACTCAGCCTACGGCCTCCTTCTCAGTCCTTCCAGAACAAGAATCTACTGCCTGCAGTAAATTGTAGCACTTTTGTCTGACCTGTTCCCTGAACACTGAGTCATAGTCTGCTTCGAGTTGCTATTTGACTTTTATACACTATTACTATTTGTTTTTATTTGTTTAAATGTTATTTTGGCCACTTGATTGTGACTTTTTCCCTTGTTTGCCCTATAATTCCCAGTGTCTCCGCATGTTGTATGGCACGGGCTTGGCAGCACAGACAGTCAGCCTTTGGTAAATATTTGTCGAGTTGAGCTAACCAGCTCCGTAAATGCATTACTGCAGAATTTGAACTCCCAGCTTGGGAAGAGGGAGGGTGAGGTGGTAAGAAGGAGAAGGTGGGACCTGGGAAGTTCTGGGAGCAGGATTAGGATGTCGCAGCTCTTTGTGGTTACTCAGCAGACAGAGAAATCCCTCTAGGGGGCTTCGAAGACCAGATGGGGGAGGTTATCACAGGTCCCTGTCTGGGTGGGCGCGGGATTGGAGAGGGGGTTGCCAAGAGGGCTCCATGTCGGTTGTGGAAGCTGACAGAGGAGGTGACCGTCGTGGGCAGGCTGGCTGTGCCCAGAGCCAGGGGCTTCTGCTGGGGCT